ACCATGTTGACCAGGATGGTCTCGATCTCTTGACCTTGTGATCCACCAGCCTCAGCCTCCCAAAGTGCTGGGATTACAGGCGTGAGCCACCGCGCCCGGCCTGTTCATTATTGTTATGGGCTAGATTGCGTCCCCCCTCAAAAATCAACCTAATTTCCAGGATCTCAGACTGTGACTGTATTTGGAGATGGGGGTCTTTAAAGAGGTGATTAAGTTAAAATGAGGTCATTAGGATGGCCCCTAATCCAGTAAGACTGGTGTCCTAATAAGAGGTAATTTCAACACAGACACACGAGAGGGAAGACCATGTGAGGACACAGGGAGAATATGGTCACCTACAAGCCCAAGGCAGAGGCCTCAGAGGAAGCTAATCATGCCAGCACTTTGACCTTAGCTTCTAGAATTAAGAAAATAAAATTATATTTAAACCACCCAGTTTTTGGGACTTTGCTCTGCAGCTCTAGCAAACTAAAACAATCACAAAATGAGCAACTCTGCACTACGGGTAATAACTTTTAAATCATTTTATAGGCATTAAAGGGTATTGTATACATTCTCCTGGAGCTGTGCTCATCAGTGGCTCTGTCAGGCTGTACCTTTGGCCGTGCTACACAGCATAAGAGGCTGGATCTGGCTGTGGCAGCCATGTGGATGGTGGCTCACTTCCTTGGCTGTACTCAGGGCAATGCAGTAGAGCATCAAGCATGAGATGTTACTCCAGCTTACCCACTGCCAAGCTGGAGCTGTGCTGTCAGACTCCCCCTGCCCCATCATCTAGCTGCCTTTCCAGGACCCCTGATGCTGCTCACTTGAGAAGGCAACCAGCCTGGGGCTCCAGCTGTCCTGGAAGGTGCAGGGATCCACACTGAGGCATCTGTGGCATAGCAGTGTGCCACACCACCCAAGGTGGCAGGCTCTGCCTTGAACAATAATTTTGCAAGTTTGAACTTTACATAAAGTGTTTCCTTGGCAGCTCATGTTTTATGGTTGTTATCGTTCTACATTATGTTCCTGTTACTCATGCTGTTTCAGGAGTTATTTCACTCATTTTCACTGTGGTTTTATTCCCCCTGTATATGGCATATTTTCTCAAATCCATGCTATTTGTTGACGGATATCTGGTGACTTTCATTTTTAACTATTGCCAGCAATGCTGTGAACATATTGTGCATGTCTCCTACTAGAGTACACGTGCAAGTTTTCACTAGGTATGTACCTGGGGGCGGAACTACAGGGCCGCAGCTATGTGCACCTTTATCTTTACTAGACAGTAACAAATTATTTTCCAAAGTGATTATACCTATTTATATCCCACGGCAGTATATAAGTGTGTGAATTGCTCTACTTTTTTTTTTTTTTTGAGACGGAGCCTTGCTCTGTTGCCCAGGCTGGAGTGCGGTGGCATGATCTCAGCTCACTGTAACATCTACCTCCTGGGTTCAAGCCATTCTCCTGCCTCAACCTCCTAAGTAGCTGGGATTACAGGCATGCCACCATGCCCAGCTAACTTTTGTATTTTTAATACAAACGGGGTTTCGCCATGTTGGCCAGGCTGGTCGCGAACTCCTGACCTCAGGTGATCTGCCAAAGTGCTGAGATTACAGGTATAAGTCACCATGCCCAGCCTGCTCTACATTCTTAAGTTTTATTTTATTTTTTTAATATAAGATCTCGCTATGTTCCTTAGGTTTGTCTCAACTCCTGAGCTCAAACAGACCTCCCAAGCAGCCAGAAGTACAGGCATGAGCCACTGCGCTTGGCTGCTCTACATTCTTGCCATACTTTATATTGCTCATGTTTTCTCGTTCTCCCAATCTGATAGATATGAAATGATATCTCGTGAGTTTAATTTTCATTTTCCTGATTACTCAAAAGGTTGAACATCTTTTTTGTAAGCTTATTGGCCATCTTGTTTTCTTCTTCGAGGTATCAGTCTGTATCGGGCAGTCTGAAAGAGCTGTTTATGTACTGTGGATAATCATCTTATGTCAGCTACATACTAATATTTTGCAAATATCTTCTCCCAGCCTGGTGGCCTGTCTTACTCACATCCAGAAGTACAAACAGGCCGGGCACGGTGGCTGGTGCCTGTAATCCCAGCACTTTGGGAGGCCAAGGGGGGCAGATCACAAGGTCAGCAGTTTAGTTTGAGACCAGCCTGGCCAACACAGCGAAACCCCAGCTCTATTAAAAATACAAAAATTAGCTGGCTGTAGTGGCGCACACCTGTAGTCCCAGCTACTGAGGAGAATTGCTTGAACCTGGGAGGCGGAGGTTGCAGTGAGCCAAAATCACGCCACTGCACTCCAACCTAGGCGACAGAGCAAGATGCTATCTCAAAAAAAAAAAAAAAAAGAAAGAAAAAGTACAAACAGAAGTTCTTAATTTTAATGGAATAGAATGTATCCATTTTTTTGTTTATG